TTTTTTTTTTTTTTTTTTAATGGTCCGGACATTTCCGGACCTGTCCAGACATCCGGACCGTCCGGATCCCCCCATGTCCGGAGGTCCGGAAATGTTTGGAATTCCGGACGTCCGGAAACTACCGGACACGGGTCCGGTTCCATGTTCGGAAATGTCCGGGTCCGGGACCGGCGTAGCCATGAAAAAAACGTAGGGGGAGGGTCGACGTCCGCATTGCCCGTGTCGCTGTCGTCCCCCTCCTCCTCCTCCTGTTCCTCTTCCTCCTATTCCTCTGCCTCCTCCTCCTCCTCTCCCTCCTCCGCTCCCTCCTCCTCCTCCACGATGTTCTCCCTCTCCCGCTCCTGCTCCTCCTCCTCCCCCTCTTCGCCAGAAAGCCCCTCCGCCTTGTCATCCTCCCTCTCTCCGCCAAAAAGCTCCTCCTACTCCTCCTCGTCTTTCTCCTCTTCCTCCTCCTCCTCCTCCTCCTTTTCTTGCTCCTCCTCTCCCTCCTCCTCTTCTTCCTCCTCTCCCCCCTCCTCCTCCTCCTCCTCCTCCACGTTGTTCTCCCGCTCCTCCTCCTCCTCCCCCGCTCTGCCAGAAAGCTCCTCCTCCTCCTCCTCCTCCCCCTCCTCCCCCTCCTACTCATCGTTGTCCTCCTCCTCTTCCACCCATTCCACCCATTCCTCCTATTCGTCCTCCTCTTCTTCTTCCTCCTCTTCTTCCTCCTCCTCTCCCTCCTCCTCCTCCTCCTCCCCCATGTTGTTCTCCTCCTCCTCCTTCTCCTCCTCCTTCCCCTCTCGGCCAGAAAGCTCCTCCTCGGGAATCACCCAATCAATCAATTCAATCAATCATTCGAATCTGATTGGTTGATTCGATTGTGTCTTGATTTTCATTCAATCAAGATCCAGTCTAATTAATTGATTCGATTGATTGATTGATTGATTGATTGATTGATTGATTGATTAAAAAAAAAAAAAAAAAAAATGCAGGGGGAGGGTCAATGTCACATACTCCAATGAGTATGGGCAGAACCAAGGATCAACCAATGTAGGATGAGCATATATGCAACGAAAGTCTGATGAACGGACTGACTCACATAGACTGACTCACATAGCATCACTCCACACACATACAATCGTGAGGTGGTGGGGTCTGAGCCATACATAGAAGATGCTCAGCCCCGTACACACATACACAGATGAATGGGGGAGGAGAGACGAAGAGGTGGCGGGAGGTAGACAGCACCGAAAGTCACCGAGATAGAATCTGATAGGTCACCGATATGGTAGTCCAAAATGTCATCCCACAAGATCAAAATGTCGAGGACCATAGGTCACCAATGTCGGGGATACAGAGTCCAAATGTAAACGGTGTCTGAACTGTGATGTCGCCAAGTATCAACCCCAACAATCTCCAAGTCTCCAATCCGGTAAGTACCACAGTCTCATACCACCGAAGTCTAACACTGATCTCTGTCCAACTAGTATAGGTCTCCGGTCTGAAGAAGAAGAAGAAGAAGAAGGAGAAGAAGGAGAAGAAGAAGAAGAGAGAGAGAGAGAGAGAGAGAGAGAGAGAG